TGTAGAATTTCACCAGAACGCTATTAAATGGGACGTGCTCTGTAACTAGCCTGTGTGTGGTCTGATCAGCCTGAAACTTTACATGCGTGATTCGAGTCTCAGCCAGAGTGTGTTACCAGTACGCCACGCATGCCGCCATGGCTCGCCACTAAACAGGAAGTGGCTCGTAACTAGGTCGCACATGCTCTGATCTGCCCCAAACTCGACACGACGGATCAGAGTCCCACCAGGAGCACGTTTGCGCCACAACCCAATGTGCGCGACGGCCGACAATCATACAGCGAGGACCCATCCAATGCTGCTTGCGGCTTTAATTAGGGTCCGAGCACCCAAAAAGGGTGCGAAGACCCTATTGGAATTGCTAGGGTTTATTCTTATTATTTTTATTATATATTCTTCGTTACAAACAAACGCGTTTCTGTTTGTTTTTGTTTTTGTTGGAAAGCACTTTGATCAACACCTCTGACTTGGCTTGCAGCGTACTGATGGATGTTCCAGGCAGCTGATTTCTGTCTTAACTTGTGGTCATAGTTAAAAACGAAGTGTAAAAATGCTCCAAAATAACACATGATGTTGTGCGACTCTTCGTTTCCCCTCATCACTCCAAACCAGTTCACAAGCAGTTAAATAAGATGGGACTATTTCCAAGTGTTACATGGCTATGTAACACTTGGAAATAATTAGGTTGGTTAGGATCAGGCATCTATTACCATTCAATACTTTTTGCATTATCTCATCAGTCATAAATTCATAATCTCTCCCTCTCTGCTTACATGAACACATTACACATCTCCTTGACTCCTATTGTCTTGTTATTAATGGCAGCGGTGTTGCCTGTGTGTCTGGGTGTGTGTCTGTTTGTCTCCAGATGATGGAACAGCTGACTGATCACCACTACGAAGTGCTCAGTGTCCCGGAGGAATCAGCAGCAAACTGCATCTACATCAAAGGTCCGTCTAAACGGGACTTCCTGCTGCACAGGCCTGCAGAGGAATGTCCTGACAGTGTTTCTGTGAGTATGACTAAGCAGATTCACAAAGAACCTCTGTTTGTCCATTCTAAAGGATCGTTGGAGCATGTTTTAGTTTTTTGTCTCCATGTTTTATTACTTTGGAGTTGGGAGACAGACTTAGGAAGCTTGGCTAAATCGCTACAATTAAAGACACGATTTTCTCATTTTTAGATTCTTTTAAACATCACCATCCCATAAACCTGAATCTCACCATCTTTGACAGCCGTTTTCTTTCTTGCTTGTCTTTAATTTCTTTCCTCTGGAGAGCAAAACAGAAGCTGTCGCAATTTCCTGCTGACTATACTTGGCTGATCAAACACTTTTAGTGCTGATGAACTTCAAAAGACTCGTTATAAATGGACTGAAAACAAAGAACATTAAAGCCCTACGCTTGTCGGCCTTCGTGCACGGCGGGGTGTGGCGCAAACCTGCTCCGGGCGGGACTGTGATCC